ATAATCTCCCATAGATCCTCGGTGAGCAAATCCATGTCCTTCTTTATATAAATTTCCATCAACTTTTGGTATAGAGAATATGTTTATATACATGAGAAATCCTTGAGAAGTTGTGCAAGTTCTTCTGAACTTGGGAACTTTATCTAAATCAGGAAATGGCGTAGCACGACAACGATCAGAGCGGCTATCAATAGCATAGAAATCGATGGATACAACGAAATCTTGATAGTCGGAACCGTGAGCTAGCCAGTGAAGACTTCCTTTCAAGCTAATAGGATTGTTAAACTCCTTAGATATATAAGTGATAGGAAAACTGGCACTATTGAGACTCCACAAGCCTGTCTCAGATGAGTATATAAGAGCATCCGCAGTGGTGTATCCTTGCGTGGGGTGTATCTATTTTAAAATACAGAAATAATACAAAAGTTGTCTCTCTCTTCACACCCGGGTGTAAGTTTACACTCGGGTGTAAGACACTCTATCTCTCTCTCTCTTTCTTTCTCTCTCTCTTTTCTCTCTCACTTTAAATTATAATAATAAAAAAAATCTTACACCTCTCCCTCACACTTACACCACTGCGGATGGTCTAAGAAAAGTGAACTTAGGTTTCAACAGAACAACTTTGTAACCTAAAACGACAGCGTTTACAACTCTTGTGGCTATTCCCAAAATCCAAAAACGTTCCTCTTTTTGTGAGGCCAGAGGAACGATCTCAACGCATTGCCTAGAAACAGGATTAGCAACGTAGAAAGATTGATTCGACACTCGATGAATCAATATCAATCCAACATCCGTGTAAGACACGACTCTAGCTTCATTATAGTTCTCGAATTTGTTGGTTAGGAAAGAAGAAATGTAAGAACCGAGAGAATGTTTAAGATTCCAATTGTCTGATCCATAGTGAGACATAATCTCTGTCTCACAACCTCTACACATGAGTGACCATGAAGAAGAATGAGAGTTTTGGTGTAGAGATTGGAAAAGGTCTCGGAAACACCGAGACTCAATGATTGATTTCCATACCTTGCAAACCAATTTTGGAGTGGTGATGATGCTTTTTAGTGGTAATCTCGCAAGTATAATCTCCCATAGATCCTCGGTGAGCAAATCCATGTCCTTCTTTATCTGTCTCTCCATCAAATGGATTAGGGTTTTTTTTTGGTGTGTGTGCTCGATTAGGGTTTCACTCGATTTTGTGTATATTGGGGTTTGGGAACGAGACACTTTTTTATTATTTGCTCAAATGTAATTCACACATTACACATTTATTAACTATTTAAGGGAAAAAGTCAATAAAATCCCCAATTCTCTAGCTCCGGCCAGAATAAAACTTTTCTACTCCCTCCGTTTCGTTTTAGTTGTCGTTTAAGGTTTTTGCACACAAATTAAGAAAATCATTAATTTTTTTGTTTTACCCTTTATTAATATATTTTATAATTTTTTCATTGGTCAAAACATTAAAACATTAATGACAAAACATTAATTTTCACCAAACATTTGCATTGAAAACCTAAAACGACAACTATTATGAAACAAAATTTTAATCCTAAAACGACAACTAAACTGAAACGGAGGGAGTATTAACAACAAAATCTCCAATTTTTTGACCAAATCATTTTAGTTTCAACTTTAGTCAACTTATTAATCAACTTCACATTTAACTTAACAAATGCTAAAATTACCGGTTCAGTACTCAAAATTGAATATCAATCCCCTTTATACGAAATTGTTATTTTCCAAATTTATAGATATGTACCAAACAATGATGTTCTCTACTCCAGAGGTAGGCCGGATCGATCGATCCCAAATAAACCGATCCCTTCTTCGTTTTTCTCTAAACCGGAAATTGGATTAAACCAAAACAACTTGATTCGAACCGCACGGAACCGAATCGACACGAACAATTCACGAGCATCACTTCTTCTTCTTCGTGTAGCCTCAAGAACATAAGTTTTCTTAAATCCCTAACTTTCTCAATTGTTAGTCGATTTCAACAATTTTGGTGTCTATCCCACTCGATTTTTCCTCCTTTTTCCATATCTAGTGTTTGTTTTCTCGATAAGCAAATGTATGAGTTCGAAATCCCTCTTTTAGTTCCGTTTTTAAGGTGAAAAATCTCTAATTCCTTCAAGGTGAAAAACGGACATGATCTTAAATTTTGAGGAAACGTGAATTTTAGAGCTTTTAACTTGATGAATATGATTCATTGTTTAGTTTTAATAACTAGAATGTAATGATTAAGCTCTTTAATTTGTTTTCGAGTGATTTCTTGACTCCACTTTGTATCTTTTGAAAAGTATGGGACGAACGAACGACGCTGCAGGAACTTTTAAGCAACGCACGAGTACTTCCAAAGCTGCACCGCAAGAAGATCCTAACAAGCATCCTGTCACGGGTGTATGGGATAAATATGACACCCAATTCACGTCTTGCCAACAAGAGTTGCTTGCCCGCACACGCTTACTATGCTTGGATTTATTGATGATGTTGCAACTGTGTTCAAGACGCTTGGCATGGGGAGATTGTGGAGATTGGAGCATCACGTGTACCCTAAGCTTGTGAGAGAGTTCATAGCTACCTGCAGGGCCGGCCCAAACTTTTTGGATGCCTAAAGCAAAAAAAGTTTGGCCCATTAATAAAATCTGTCAAAAAAACAAAAAATACAAGTTTTAACATTTATGGGAATCGAAACTGTGACCTGGACATTAATAATGTTCAGACAGACCACTAGACCACAGTAACATTTTCAGAAAATGATGCCCTTAAAAATACTTATAATTATTGATGCTTAAAGCCCTTGCTTCATGGGCTTTAGCCATGGGCCGGCCCTGGCTACCTGTCGCCTCACATACAAGAATCTGAAGCAGCCAAAAGTGAGTGAAGGGACACTCACATTCTTCCCCGACAAAAAGCACTACAGCAAAACCTTGTTCGAGATCTGCGACATATATGGATTCACTGATAACATGGGATTTTCGCCCATATTTGTTACTGTTTTCTTATGTTTTAGGAAGTGTTTGGTGTGATTTCAAGGCCAAAGAGGAGATATTCAAGTATTTATGGAGTCAAGAAGGTTTTAGGAGTTTCTAAGCAAAATAGACCAAAAGACGGACAAAACTCGTTTCACGACAAATTCGAAGCTTCAGAAGTTAGGCATCCGTTTGAGGCCTTTTTGTGAACAAAATTTTAAGATCTTAGACTCTATGGACAGCTGAAAGAGTCAAAATTACTATGGAAGAAGAATCAACTGAATCCCAGCTGCCAAACAGAAGTTACAGCCGATTGAAAGTCGGCCTATCCGAGACTAGTCACAAGGAGTGTGACCGGTGGTGAAGCCCTTGTTGGGACCGGTCACTACTCCACGTGACCGGTCTGGAGCCTCTTGGCGAGCACTGTCATAGACCCTCGTGACCGAGCTCAGCCACCTCGTCCCTGCACTTAATGAAACTACGTAGTTTTGCCGAGAAAACCGTAAACCGACTTGTTACTTCCAGAGGCCTATAAATACAAGTTGTGAACCCTAATTAGAGTGTGTCTTCGACTCCTATCACCAGAAGCTTCCTAGAGACAACCAGAGAAGCCTCCTCACCGAATCTCTCCTCCGATCTCGTCTCACCGTCGCCGTTGAAGCCGCTGATCATCACCAACCTTTCTCTTCATCTCTTATCTCTGTATGTCCAGAGAAGATTTCTAAACCCTTTTTCTATACCCATACTCTTTTATGCAATCTCTTATTCATATGATATTGTGTTCTTTGAGTATGTATGAGTAGTTTATTCGTTGGGTATATGGGTTTCAAAAGGGATTGATGAATCTGTTTTCTAGGGTTTTCTTAGATCTATATTTAGGTCATAGTTGTTCTTCGTTCCAAGTTTATTCTTAATGCATATTGCTTGAATAGCTAACTTGCAATTGATCTTAAATGGTTTTATGCATCATAAGTGTATAAACCCGCGTTCACTAGCCTAGATGTGAGTATAGTGTTATAACAAGCAAACACCACTTAGTTATAGGGCTTTACAAACTATAATCAAACTCGTTAATCATGCTGGTTTAATCTCGTCGTTGCATGCGTTAGTTTAGTAACAGAGTTGTTAGACTTAGATAGTCGTTTGGTCATAAACCAAACGGTTTTACATAAGTGTATCGTAGTTCATGAACTGTTTAAAAAGTATAGGTTTACCTTTTTTTAAAACCATATAATAACCCGATCAGTGATACCCTGAGAAATCCCTGAAGCCCAACTTCTCGTTTATTGATAGCCCTAATCGTTTGCTTTCTTTTATTTTCTTATTTCGTTAGTTATAAAACCCAAAAACCAATCCCCTCTCTTGATTTGTTCTAGACATATTCTTTTCATTGAATTCGTACAGTATTTATTATGTTACCTACGAATTTAGGACTAGGTTATCTTCTTGGCGCTTTTTAATTTTTTGTTTTTGCATTTTATTTTCAGTTTCACGTTAAGTTTTTTTTTCCAGGTACTCTCAGGACTAGCCCGAATGGAGGACCAAAACCACTTACCGGAGCACCTTGACGATCCACCGCCGCGGAGGAACGATCACGGAGCCGCTGGGCAAGATGATGAGCAGGTCGCCGTTCACAAAGGAGCTCATGAGCCGGATCACATGGATCCACTTATTGGTGATTTCGACACCCCTCACTTATACTTTCAATCCCGGTCCGCATTAACCCGACGAGACCGCAACATGAATCTTTCAAGATTAGGCCTCAAATCATCAACTTGGTGAAAGAAAACCAATTCCATGGTTTTGCTACAGAGCAACCAATAGCTCATATTGACCTTTTCGAAGAGATATGTGGTACCAAAAGTTCGGATGAGGAGTCTAACAACTACATGAAGTGTAAACTATTCTCGTTTTCTCTTGGAGAGAAAGCAAGTAAATGGTTGAAATCATTACCTGAAGTATCAATTACGAATTGAGAGGATTACAAGGCTGCCTTTCTTAACCACTTTTACACCAAATTTCCGACCAACCAATTTCGGACTACTTTGGGATTTCAACAAGGAGCCAAAGAATCATTCTATGACGCTTGGGAGCGATTTAAAGACTATGAGAGAGACTGTCCTCACCACAACTTCACTGAAGGTAATATGATGAACATTTTCTATAGAGGTGTTAACCATAAGTATTGTTTTTTTCCAGATACCGCAAGTAATGGAGACTTTGCTACAAAGACGGTCGAGGAAGCTCGAACTTTGATTATCAAGCTAGCCGTGAGCGACAACAACAACCTTCTCGACCCTCCCTGAGCATGGATAAAGAAGCAATCGAATCCTCAAGATTCGATGAACTCATGGAGATGATGAGCACCGCTGTGAAGTGCTTACAAGAATGTACCAGTTCTTCTTCCGAAGAAGATGACGATTTCTATGGTCGAGAAGAAGATGTGAATTACATGGGAGCAAGGAGAGGCTACCAAGGGAGAGTTTTCAACCAAAGTTTCAGAAACCGAGGAAGAAACACTAAACAATGCGAGAGCGAGTTAGCTTTACATTCGTGATTTGAGTTCAAAAAAGGTGTTAGTTTAACGCATTCTCACTTAATTATCTGCATTTGTTATCATAATTTTTGGACAATTCCTTGTGCCCAATGCCTTTTGCCTATTAGTTTCAACTACTTGCATTTATATATTGTTTTCGTTATTCTCATAAATTTAATATTTAGTTTTGTCTTAGTTTTACATATTTGATCCTAAAATACCATTTGATTGTGTTAGAGAACCGATTATGTTTTAATTGACCTTTGATCATGCTCTTAATAGGTTAGTCATTACATTAAATGTTTTGCAAATGCAGGTTCTGCTGAATTAACTACTTCCTCCTCCCGGAATCTTCTTTTCTCCTCCGGAGTCTTCTTTCCGCCCATTTATCCATCATTATAGGCCGAACGGGCCTTCACTTTATTAAAAGGCACGGATATGTGAACCTTACCTAGGCAGGTTCCAAAAATGGGCATAATTTATTTTTCGCCCCACACAGTGACATTTGTTTTGTTAAAATTTGTGTAAAAATTTGCAATCATTTTAACAAAATTTGTTTTCAAGAAATATTATCTAGCCATAATTTTGGAATCCTATAAATAAATTTTTTATATACAACTATTTAACCATCATTTAACAAGTTCTTTGTTTAGGAGAAAACTTTAATAATTTCTCCAATTCTTTAACTCTTAACTTTTTCAAATTCATCGACATCCCAAAATTCAAGAGTCCATATCCAGTCCTATTGAAACAAAATACTAATCTTTTCGATTGATTTTTTGATATGGCTGGATATAGGCGGATACTGTTGAATTTTGGGACATTTTTGAAGACAACAAGTGTTTTTGAGAATGTAATGAACTGCTGGTACCGTGCCACATAAGTAAGATGGATCAAGAGTAATGCAACTATACATTAATCATGCAAGTCGAGATATAATATACTAGACTATAAATTATGTTTTCACTACACACGCATTGATATAATTAAATGTTACATATATTAAAAAAAAACATGTTAGGTTTTAGTAATCCAATAATTTAGAATATGAGTTAATGATGGTCCAAATGACATGTGGATGAACAATAACTCGTCTCGTTCTTGTGTTGTTATAGAAATATGGTTTTATTCTTGTCATCGTGTTTTGCCATGAAGTAGAACAAACTACTAGATAATTGTATGTTAATCATGCATAATCATGCAACGTAACAATAAATCATTAACATATATTAACATATCTATTAGATAGCGAAATAAGTAGAAAAGCATATGGAGACATGTGTTCTTTGGAAGTGTACTTTGAATGTTTTGAGGACTAGAAATGTGTTTTAGGACAGATATCGTGCTACGCATGTAAGTCGGGTCAAAAATCATGCAATTGTATGTTAATGGTGCAAGTCGATATATAAACTACTAGACTATAAATATTGTGGTTATTACACATATAGACATAATTAAATGTTACATATAAAACGCAAGTATGTTAGGTTGTAGGAATCCAAATAATAAGAATATGGATTGATGATGGTCCAAAGGTCACGTAGATTAACAATAAATAGTTTTGTTCTTGTGTTGTTATAGAAATATGGATTGATTCTATTCAGTATGTTGATACCATGAAGTAGAAGGAACTACTAAATAAATGTATGTTAATCATGCAACTATATGTTAATCATGCAACTATTTATGATTGACATATAGATATCGAAATAAGTAGCAAAGCAAATAGAGTCTTGTGTTAGTTGGGAAATTTTGAGGATAAGATGTGTGATTGAGGACAAATATCATGTCACGAAAGTAAGATGGGAAAGAGTCATGCAACTATATGTTAATCATGCAAGCCTATACATAAACTACTTTACTATAAATTTTGGCGACATTACACATGCATAGACATAAATCACATGTCTTTCATACTATTTTATTCGATTACGAATTCTATTAAAAAATAGTTTAATAATAGTTAGTTGGAAATATTTTGTAAATTAAAGTTCTAGATTATTCATACGTGAAATCTGCAGCAGAATCAAATGTTCATCAATAATTTACTATATTTTAGTCAGATAATTAAAAATTATTTCATGAGATCTTTTTATAGTTTTAGTTAATGCCTATGAGTCTCTTTACGACACACGTGAGAATTGTGAATCTGGTCCAATTGTTCATGCCAGTTATTTGATACGGAGAGTCTTGTTCGTTATAATTAAAAACCTTAAGTAAAATCATTTTGAGTCTTTGACTAGTTTGGTGAAACGTATTTATGTAGTTTTGGTTCAAAAAAAATTAACTTAATGTAAACCATATTTAAGTGAAAATAATATACTCTATAAATCTTGCTTGTTCCTAAGCATATCTAAGTAAAATGAAAACAAAGTCGATCTTGTTATTGTGTGGATATAGAAATAAGAAAATATAGTTTGATTTTCTTCAATGTGTTCATGCCATGAGGTACAATAAATATTAAATAAATATATGTTGATCATGTTTAATCATGCAACTAATCATGTTAATCATGCATAATCATGTAATTATTTATAATTAACATATAGATATCGAAATAAATAAAAAAGAAAACTTATGGAGCCATGTGTTATCAACTCATATTCTAACATGCTTTCGTTTTATATGTAACATTTATGTCTAGGTGTGTGTAATGTCAACATTTTACATGTGTATACTTTCATTTACTTGTGATTAGTTAATCTTACATATAATATTTAAAGACTTATGTTAGTATAGACTTTGATGAGTTTGTAAACCGGAAAAATGGGTAGAAAAACCTTCACCTTTCCTAAAAACATGTTAAAAGCCCTCAACATTTTTTGTGGGTTTTTAAACCCTCACCTTTTCATAAGTGGTAAAATAAACCCTAGTATTAATAAACTCAACTTAATTTTTTAAAATCATTAAAACAGTAAGAAACAAAAACAATCAATTTATGATTTTGTTTCAAATTCCAGTTTGCAATTTTTATTTCTAAAATTATGGTTTTTGAGCTATAAATATTCATTCACAATTGAGTTGAGATTAGGTAAATCATTTTTGTTACCATTAGAAGTTAGATTATGTAAACTACAAAAATTTATAGGATAGCACATTTGATTTTTTTTTTGTTCGAATTTTAAGGTTTGGATAAAAATATAGTTAAAAATTAACTATATATCATTTATATTATTTTTAATATATCGTAATATGTATATAGAAATATTAAGTGTTACTAAATCTTATTTAGTTTGTCCGATGAAAATATTTTGATGTGAAAATTCATGTACTTTTCGTAGTATTATAAAATTTGGTTTGGTTTCACGATAGCAAATTTGTGTGATCGAACTGAATAAACTTTAATCAACATAAACTCATATTCGGTTCAATATAAGAATTTATATATTATTCGTAACAAAATCTGTTTGGTTTCACATTGATGAATTTTTGTAACCCAACCGAATACAATTAAATTTTTTACATCATGACTTCAAAATTTTCAATTTCGAAAAATATTGTGAAATAGAATTTTAGAAGAAAATTCCCAAATCAAATTGTTTACATTTTATTATGTTTTAATACAACAATTTGTTTGAATTTATATTGATTTTATTAATAATAAGATTTATTTTACCATTTATGAAAAGATGAGGGTTTAAAAACCCATTAAAAATGTGAGGGTTTTTATATATTTTTAAAAAAGGTGAGGGTTTTACTACCCATTTTTCCGGTTTACGAACTCATCATAGTCAATACTGACATAAGTCTTTAAATATTGTATGTAAGATTAACTAACCACAACTAAATGAAAGTATACACATGTAAATGTTGACATTACACACACCTAGACATAAATGTTACATATAAAACGAAATTAAAGCATGTTAGAATATGAGTTGATAACACATGGCTCCATAAGTTTTCTTTTTTACTTATTTCGATATCTATATGTTAATTATAAATAATTACATGATTATACATGATTAACATAATTAGTTAATTGCATAATAAAACATGATCAACATATAGTTATTTAATATTTATTGTATGTCGTGGCATGAACACATTGAAGGAAATCAAACCATATTTTCTATATCCTATATGCTTAGGAATAAGCAAGATTTTCTAGAGTATTTTATTTTCAATTAAATATGGTTTACATTAAGTTGATTTTTTTTAACCAAAACTACATAAATACGTTTCACCAAACCAGTCAAAGACTCAAAATGATTTTACTTAATGTTTTTAATTATAACGAACAAGACTCTCCGTATCAAGTAACTGGCATGAACAATTGGACCAGATGCACAATTCTCACCTACGTCGTAGAGAGACTCATAGGCATTAACCAAAACGATAAAAAGATCTGACGAAATAATTTTTAATTATCTGACTATAGTAATTTATTGATGAACATTTGATTCTGCTGCCGAATTCACGCTTGAATAATCTAGAACTTTAATTTACCAAATCTTTCCAACTAACTATTAACTAGTTTTTAATAGAATTCGTAATCGAATAAAATATTATAAAAGACATGTGATTTATGTCTATGCATGTGTAATGTCGCCAAAATTTATAGTATAGTAGTTTATGCATAGGCTTGCATTTATTGT